AAGGAAATTGAAGATTTTTTTTTTATTAACATCACAAATATGTATCTGAGCTATGCCTGCCAATATTTTTTTTTCTTACCAAGTAGTATGTCGTTCTCACTACTTTTTGATCCCTCCTCATATAATGTCTGTGACTGCAGATGCCGCAAAATTTTCCTCTGAGAAGATATCTCGGTCTATTGGCCAAATTTCCGGCCTAATACATCATTAATGAATCTTAAAAATTGAGCTGTTGCCGTTACATATTCAAAGTCTGGCAACATCAAAACATTTTGTCAAAAAAGTAGAGCCTCCGCAACGCTTGTACTTAATTACTGAGCTGCAATTTTAACGCTCATGATTTTCATTTTAAAATGAAAATTATTTGCTCGGAGTTTGTTAGCCATAAACAATTCTTTTTCTTGTGTTTTGTGCAAGTTTACTACGTGATTCCATTTAATTTTTTCTTCTAATGTAGTTATAAGACAGCCATAACTTTCTAATGCATTCCGAATCAACTTTAGCATGTCACAGGGATCAAGAAAAAAGTGTACATTCTGTCCTGAAGTAGGATCCAAAAATGTCTGTAATTTTATTGGGTCCAAACAGCAACCTAATTCTTCAGCCGTAACTAAATTAGCCTTTACGCTGTTACATATCAAAGCCTTTACTTCTACTCCAGTTTCATTTACTAGTGCTAATGCATCCGTGACTAGTTGCGTCTTTTGTATACCAGTCGTGCCTTTTACCAAAGAATAGCCAATTGGTATTTTAAAGATTTTGTTGACGCCAACCAACAAGAACACAAATGCATCAGTTGCTATGTCACTGTTGTCAGTCTGATAGCCGAAGCCATGGTTAACGTTCCTCAAATTTTTTTCCAAATCTTCATCCAATACCCACTTCTCAATGTTTGCCTGCACCTTATCAAAGTTGTATGGTAATTCACGAGCTTTAACTAATCTTAAATTTAATTCACGAGTCCTGACATTATTTGTTTCCCAAGTTTCCAGTAATGGTAATTACGTTCTGATGGTCGGTGATAGGTTTTTTAAAAAATGAATACTATTTAAGTTCACAATGTCGTTTAATATAATTTAATACAGAGTCTTTATTTAAAATTAGTAATTATATAATATTAATTATATCTATGAATCGCGATTGATTCCTAAAATATACACCGTACGTTCGCGACTTAAAACATACTGCCTTCTCACTCCCCTGTCGTATTCCCTTTTATCAATTTTCTTTGTAAAGTATGTTTTCATTCTTTCTGGGAATTTGTGTTTGAGAACAGCTATTGTGCAATATGTATTGGTATGTTGTAGTATGGTTTGGAAGGGGTTTGCACTCGTAATATGGTCGTAAATATTTTTTAAACAATGTTTATTGTGTTCTGTTGTTTTAATAATTCTTTATAATCTGCCATTATAAAAGTGCAAACAATAGGTCCTGACTTACACTATTTATAAAATATTAATAATACTTACAAAACTGAAGTAAATTACACAATAAAAACAACTCCAAGTTAATATTTGGTACCTTGTTATATTTCACGATATAGATATTTATGTGGGCGCACAGTAATCACTATACCATTTATTTCCTATGATTTACCTCACAATTCTAACCTGGAATTTGACATAAATATCTTTAGTAAACTGTATTAAATGTAGTAGGATAACCTAGAATATCCTAAGTAAATAATTTGTTATTATTTCAAACTAATTAGGGGAGGTAGGGGAGCATTGGGCACTTTTTTACATAAATGTTAATAAAACTGTTATTTTTTATCATAATCAAAATTTTATTCCTAATATAGGGAGCACACATATTTGGTAGTAATTATTATTAAGAAAAGTTTCAATATTGTAATTAGTTTCAAAGTTACAAGAGATCTTCGAACACATGTCCAAAGTGCCCAAACCTCCCGGCGGTCGGGAGGTTTGGGCACCCATGTAGGGAGGTTTGGGCACTGTATTTAATATGCACGAAATTGCTTTACTATACTACTAGGCTTAAGTATTATATAACATTACTATAAAAAATTGTAATACAAACATTTTTTCTTATCATAGATTTTAGAAAAATTTAACAATGTGACTTAGAATCAGTACTGCACGATGTTAGACTTAATTAAACTTATCTTATATTTGGTATGATCCATAGAGGCTTGTCAAATTTATATTTTAAGCTGCCACGTTTCATCCATGTCGTTGGTGTAGGCAATTTTGTCTTTATATCCTCCAGGAGGACACTGGCTACGTCCTCGATGTCAGGAAATATAAAAGTATTTCTTAACTTACTCACTCTCATAAATTTTACAGTTGCCATCGTCTGATTAACATCTTCGATTATTCCAACATAATGGTAGACAGTTTTTTTGGTGTCAAATTTCACTAATACAAAGTTATTGATCTGGAAATTTCTATCCAGAACGATCACATCGTCTTCATCAAAATCTTCCGATTCAACAACGGTTTCGTCAGAAACTGAAACATTTTCTATTTCATCATCGCTGCTAATTTTCCTGTTTTTCTCTAGTTTGGAAGTAAATTCATCAGCAAGTTTCGGAATTTTTTTCTGTCCTGTATTTTTGAAGCATTTTCTATTTTTGTTGAGCTCTTTGATCTTATTTTTTCTTTGTCTTTCTTCTTCTTCCATTTCTATAAGTCTTTTCTCGGGTGTGTCCGTCAATATTCTAGTTTTTCCCTTCTTCCGTTTCATACCCTGCAATTTCCTGGGGCCGGCCTTCGGATACGGTCTTACTACATCAGGTGTTACATTGACAGTGCCACTAATTTGACTTGTAGAGGGAGATTCCAGTTGAGATGGCCCAATGACTTCCACATTTGAACTTGTACGATCCTCTAGACTCTGATTTTCCCCTGTTGAAGGCTGTTCAGTGACAGGTTGGTCTGAAATAGATTGTTCTGAAGGAACATTACCCTCTTCCGACAAGCAGCGATCAGTTATAAAAGAACAAGCGAAATCTTCATCGGAGAAAATATTTGAATTCAATGGCCATATGCCAGATTTTTCAAATCCACTTTGAATATTCTGCAACTTGAATGCTAGTGGAATGGCTTTTGCTGCTAATTTTGGTATTTCATAAATTGTTACTGTTTTGGCCGGATTGCTTACCATCCAATCTGTTACAGCAGTGTTATAATAAGTTTTCAGTGGTCCATAGACAGTCAGGTCTAGAGGTTGCAGTTTATGGCTGCAGTGTGGTGGGAAAGTCATTAAAACAATGCCTGATTGTTTGCAAAAATCGAGAACTGGTACTGAAATATGGCTCTCATGATTGTCCAGCAGCAAAAGAACTGGCGATGAAGGCGTTGGTTTTGCGTGTTTGGCGAAATGGTGAATATATTTTAAAAAATTTGGTGATGTCATCCACCCTGAAGGATGTGCTGCTCCATCTGAACCAACAGGGGCATCATTTAGCATATATGTTTTGAAATTAACCCGTGGGAATATGAAAAATGGTGGTATTGAGTTACCCAATGCATTAATACCGCAGCAAACCGTTACAAGCGTCCCTCTTTCAGCTGACGTTACTTGCCCAACTTGCTTAGTGCCTCTGAGAGCAATCACTTTCTGGGTTCGTTGCACCGTTGATAATCCAGTTTCGTCTATATTGTAAATAGACTCAGGGCCGAAGCGATGCCGTTCATACACAGTTTTAAGATTTTCAAAAAAATTTCCGACATTTGTCTTATTGAAGCTTGTGGCCCGTGACAGACTGGTAGCCTCTGGTGTCCTTATCGAAAGTTGAGGCTGTCTTTTAAAAAATCCCCTTATCCAGTCTTTGGATGCAAGTTTCTTCTCTGTCCAGTTATCTGGTATTTTCTTTTTAATGGCAGTGGCGTATTCATAAACCAATTCGCGTGTTTTCAGTTTTGATAGTCCATGGTTTAGTTTAAAAGATGTTACAAGATATTCCGAAATTTTCTCTTCTTCATCTTTTGTGAATATTTGAGACGATATAAATTTACAAGAATTATCTTTTACGACACCACCCTGCTTGATATACCTTTGAAGGTTAGATCTTGGTATGTCATATTTATTCGCAGTACTTTTAATTTTAGCACCTTTGGAAACTTCTTCCAATGCGCGCAAAATAATATCTTTAGGGATTTCACGTCGCTTATTTTTCTTTTTAAATGAAAACGGCATTGTCCTAAAAAGAAATGATTAACCACTCAATCCAATAGGCATAGCAAAAAGACACCAAAATACACTAAAAACAGAGCCAAACATGCCCAAACCTCCCTCCTACCTGCGTGCCCAATGCTCCCCATAACCTCACTTTTCAAATAGATTAGAATAAGATTATTTTTATCAAATGTAGAAACCTAATTTACAGGCAAATATAATATTCATTAAACACAAAAGAAAAAGATAACACAGATACTTACACGTTCTTGCAGATTTCTTTGATAAGTTACATCAAATCACAAATAAAATATTTACTTCTGTACGCAGCAAACCGTTACGCGCATGTAACTTGACAACCAAGTGAAATGACAGCTGACACTTTAGATAAGCGGTGTTGCTAGTGAATAAAGTATAGTGCTGTGGTAGAAAACAAAAAATATCTATGAAAGTTTTGGAGAAATGAGGGGGTGCCCAAACCTCCCGACTGCCCAATGCTCCCCTATCTCCCCTATAAGTTATTTATTGGTAAAATAACTAGGTAGTTTATATATTTTATTGCAATATTAGAAAATTATAGTAAAATATATTAGTATTGCCGAAATTTGCTTTCGGTACGTCTAGGGGGAGGGGGGCACTTTCATACACAAAAATTAAATCTCTTTTCTGAGGACCATAAAGCATTATATTTAAATATTTGTTTTGATGTGTGCATTGGCTGATATGTCAGCTTACATTTTGGCTACGCAAAAACCGCAAAAATTGGCGACGTATAGAGATAATGTGATTTTAAGAAAATAAAATGTTTGTATCATTCTGCCCCACCAGTGGGGCACTTTGATACATGGGGTGGGGCAGTTTGATACGTATTTTAGATCCATATGAAATGCAAATTTAAACTGACTAAAAACCCAATATAAACTGTATTATTACTTAAAATTAAGAAATAAAACAATTTTATTGATTGAGATCGCAAAACACTTTTTATTAAGAGTGCACATTAGCCATAATCAGTCTCTTAAGTTACTTAAGAAATATAATCACAAAAAAAAACAATATTGTCATCATAGAACAAGACTAATTCTCTGTTATTTTCTTAATTATATAATCAGTTATATACTTACTAAGTAATCAGACTTTAACATTGAATATTGTTAATGAAAATATAATATTAGAACCTCCTATCAAAATAAACAATAGTTTTCTTAAAAAATTAAACAAACATCAAAAATTTAACAAAAATAATCATAAAAACTCTCATAAATTACAAAACAATCTACTGGATATTATATCGAGTTAAACCTACCGAAAATGAATAAAGCGACGATGTTCGAGATGTGCCTTTGGAGAAAGTTGGTTTTGGTAATTGCAAAACTACATCTCTAACATCCACACTTGCTTTGTCTTCCACAATTGGAAATATGAACTTATAAGACCCTGTTTTTTTTCTGAGATATGATACTTCATATTCTGTCACATTATACTTAAATACGACTTTGGCAACGTAGTGAGTCACAGTTTTCTTCTTCTCAAACTTAATTAGTAGGAAATCTCCAATATTTATGTGTTCAGGATTAACTGGTTCTTCATTAATTACCTCTTCTTCTGATTCCGATGGCATTTCAATGTCTTCACTATCACTCGTCATCACAACTTCATCTAGACTAGAATCGGAATCTATTTCTGCAGGCAAAGAAGTTACTCTCTTTTTCTTTTTTGGCTCAGTTAACCCCAGCAGATTTTTCGCTGTTTTCAATTCTTTTGCATGCTGTTTTGCTTTTTGTAATTCTCTTTTCCTGTCCTTTTCATTACGTAAGCTTTCTAATCTATTTTTTTCTGGTGTGTCAGTGTATATTCTTGATCGTCCCTTTTCTCTTCCTTTTCTTTTTAAGACACTGTCAGTAATCGCCTTTTTTGGATAAGGTCTAACTACGTCAGGAGTAAGCATAGCCTGTGATGAAGAAACATGTAGAGAATCGTCAGCATCAGACACTGAAATTGGGTCGGTATCCAAAGTAGGAGTTTTATTTTGTTCTCTATCAACAACTTCATTATTTTGACTTGTTTCCGAGTCTACAAAATGTAAATCTTGTGTTTTGTGAGTGTTCTCATCTGTCAAATCGTGATAACCTGTGCTGAAAATGTCTATCGGTGCAAAGTCGTCGTCGCCAAATACCAGTTTATTAATTGGCCAAATTCCAGGTTTGGAAAAACCACCTATGATATTCTTTGGTGTAAATGATTCCAAATATGCTAATTTTGACAGTTCAGCAATGTTGTATATGGTCAAAGTCTTTCCAACATTTTGAATGTGCCAGTCGTTGAAAGCTATCTTCAATTTGCCTTTGAAGGGTCCGAACACACTGACATCAAGCTGTTGCAATTTGTGTGACGTGTGTGGGGGCAGACTCAAATAAACAATACCGTTGTCACGACAGTAGTTAACAGCTTCTATTGAAATGTGCGATCCGTGGTTGTCACAAATGATTAGAATTGGGTTATCTTTATTGCTCGAAGTAAGGCGTTGAATGTGTTTCAAAACTCTTATAAACAATTCTGATGTCATCCAGCCGCTTCTGTTTGCCAACCCTAGACTTCCATCAGGAGCTACATTTAGGAAGAGATCTTTGTAGTGAACTCTTGGAAAGACATAAACTGCAGGAAGAGAAGAACCAGTAGCAGTAATAATACCACAGAAAGTAACTAACTCTCCGCGTTCTGCAGAAACTATTTGTCCCACCTGTCTTTGTATTCTTCCAGCAATGACTTTAGGAGTAGAAAGAACTGTGCTTATGCCTGTTTCGTCTAAGTTTATTATTCGATCGGGTGTAAAATTATACTGTCTCATTATGCGTTCGTAATTATTCATTTTACTGCAATTCAATAAATATTGAGTCAATGCCTTTTCTTGTTCGATTGAAAAAACTTGTGCAACGGTATACTTGGAACCATAGATGTTTGATGAAGTAGCTGTAGCAGTGTGTGATGATAAAGCTGCAGTAGTAGTGTGTGCTGAAGATGACGCTATTTGTGCCATCTCCATAGATGGTGCTATTTGTGGTGAAGATGGACCTGCTTGTGATAAAGAAGATTCTGCTTGTAATGAAGAGGATGCTTCATTTGTAGATAATATTCTGGTAGCTTCAAATGATTTTCTGGCTTTTTCTATGCGATGTTGTAGGGTCGCAGTTTTGATGCTATATTTGTCGGCTGCTTTGCGTATAGATAAAGTCTTTGACAATACTTCACGTATTGCGTCTTCAATGTTTTCTTCATTGATATTTTTTCTATCAGTTTTGGGTTTGTTCGTGCGCACCATTTTCTGAAAAAAAGAAAATAAACAATAAAATAAACTATTATTTTTGACGGGGCACTTTAATACAGTAGAGGGGCAGATTGATACGTATCATTGTACCCCGCACATTACCGTATCAAAGTGCCCCAACGGACTTTTTCCACAAACAATTAATTTTATCTAATATATAATAATAATGCAATCAAAAACATTTTAAAATACAATAATAACTATATTTACTTACCTGTAGTAACAAATAATAACAAAAACAACTAAATGAATCCTCCTGAGACACAATTACATTTCACGTTTTTTTTTTTTTTGTAGGCAGCGGCGCACGCCACTTTCAACACGTTAGTGACCGTTGAGGTCCAATGGCAAACTGGCGGCGAACGGTGTCACAACTGTCATTCTTGTGAATGCCCTTGAGCATTCTAGTGATGTGCCGGACTGTGTAGCGTTTATCGGTTTTGAGATATAGATACTGTACCAATGTGCCCCGTGAATCAATGTGCCCCCCCTCCCCCTACCAACAATCCAGTTTCTACGCGAAATCTTACTTGAATAATTTTTTGTTTGTACTTCTAACTCTTTTTCTTTCGATCTGTTTTGTCTATACTTTTTTACGGGTAATTTGTACGCCAAATACAAACGAAGATCTCGAAGAACAATAACATGCAATTAGTACGACGGTCAAGTTCGAACTGCAGTCGCAAGCACATGATGTATGTTTAGTAGGTGAGGGGTGCGGGTAAATTCTTGTTACTGGTTTATTTTTCTTTCTATCTTCGCTACTAATGGTTAATAACCTTTTCGTTTAAATAGTTATGGTCGACTAGTTTATAATAATCGACGTATTTGCATCGGTGGAATGTAACCGCCTACAGCGCTCATAGCACACAACAAAGTGATATTTTTTCCTCTCTCCCAACTGATTATCGATCCCACTCTCTTTTGTCCATTGGTAGCCAAAATTTTTCTAGAAGTTCCAACTGTTCTAATATCTGTTTCGTGGCAATTATAAATATTACCTATTTATAGTTGTCCTTTTTTGCAATATCAGCTGATTTATCAGCCAAAATGCTGTAGGCACTTGCGGCTTTGATATTAATGATAAATTTTTCTCTAATTTCAACTCCAAATATATTTAAAATCTCATTTAGATTTTTAGAGACGTATATTGAGTATTTTTATGCCCTTTTTCCGAGTGTTCCGCAAAATTTCATCATAAGACTAAATTTCTAGTTTAAGCAAATCCTGTAAAACGCCATTATCTTCTTTTTTTCCTCTCTATGACAAATCATGAGTACCACAAAAAATTATTGTGTTGCAGCAAGCTAACATTAGTACAATTAAACCTTAATATTAGGTCTACCGGAAAGATCTGTCCGTTTTTTTCTTACTGCCAATTAACTTTATTGAATAATATAATTGCCATTATTATTATTGATCTCTTGCCAGCGTAAGGGCAATTTGTATATCCCATTTTGGGAAAATGTTTCATTTTTTGATGCGAAAATTTGAACCAGTGCTTGTTTGACAACTTCATTTTTGAATTTTTTGCCCGTCAAAAATTTTGTAAAGACAAAAGCAAGTGATAATCAGGGATTGCTATGTCCAGGAATATGGTGGGTGTGACAGAATTTCCCAGCTTAATTCTGCAATTTTTTGACGAGTCCCTAAAGCAGCGTGTGGTCTGGCGTTAACGTAGTACAGTATGATGTCCTTCCTATTGAACATTGCCGGCCTCTTTTTTTAGACCGCTGTCTTTAAATTATCCAGTTGCTGACAATACTTCTCCGAATTGAGCTTTTCGTTCGGTTTTAAAAGCTCATAATGTTTTGGTCCTCGAATATCCCACAACATTCTCTTATTCAGACTCAAATTTGGTTAAGAGGTGGAAGGGCTAGGTTTTCCGGGTTCACAATATGCCCTTTTCCTTACAATGTTGTTGTATGTAATCCACTTTTCATCCCCAGTTATCACCCGGTTAAAAAGGGCTCGATTTTATTCCGAGCAAGCAGAGATGTGCATATGACAATTCAATCGTCCAAATTTTTCTGACTTAATTCATGTGGTACTCATCTTGAATACTTCCACACCAATCCTATCTTCCGAATATGGTCAGAAATGGTTTGTTGAGCTGAATTAAGCCTTTTGCGATCTCCGATGTTGTCAGAAAAGAATCTTGCTCCAACATTGCCTTAACGACACCGTCGTCGATCAAAGATGGTCGCCCAGAACGTGGCTTATCAGAAAGATCGAAATCACCTCTTTAAAATTTTTCGTACCATCTTCTGCATGTCCTATCAGAAACTGTACCTTCACCAAACACTTTCGATAAATTTCTACATGCTTTTGTAGCATTTCTTCCTTGTTGAAATTGCTGCACCATGCATAAGAACTTAATGAACTCTTAAAGGCATATTATACCAGCTATATAATTCCAAATACAGTTGTATGGTGACTTGAGCATATTCGTGAAATTTGACTGTGTCAATGTGGTAGCCTGATGAAATTGCCTCTAAAATGATTGCAAATCGCCTAATTAAGTCTTCACTGACACTAGTTACCTCAGCAGTCATGTTTGGATCGGCAAAAATCTTCTAGCAGTATTTCCGTCATTAGTGGAGCCGTGATCTTGTTTGACAACATCAATCAGAAGTCCCATTCTATTTTTAAAAGCGTCTTGTATGTTTTTCTTCTTACTTTTCATGATGCACTTGTTTTACAGTCCATGTCTGTATCGTTAATCTGTAAACTATATGCAGAATGCATTCCATCATTTGTATCCAGATATGCAATGATGACAATCCGTATCTACAGAGATCTGGATCAGTCGGTTTTGATGCAATTAAGGGTAAATTATGTGAAAATAATTCATCTCAGTTGGAGTGGCTTTACAAATGTCGCATCTCTGAGATGAAGTATCACATAAAATTGATGTTGCTTTTCCGTCTATCATTGTCATTAATAAATAGTGTGAAATATTTATTTCTCCAACTTCTGTTTCTACTAAATTAGCAATTTTTTTCCTCAATGGCACTTTTTCCCCGCAATATCGTTATTTTATTTTTATTCACAAATTCGAAAAAAATTGGACGACACCTCCCTGATTCGTTATATAAATCTGTATAGGCTTATTTGTCTATCTTATACTGATAAATATGCTTTAAACTAAATGAAATAAACATGACTGTTTGATTGATTGTTTGAGGCAACACTAACAGTTCATCTGCGGGCAAAGCTAAGAATTAATTTACAGACAACACTGACATTTCATCAGCAGGTGGCAGTATTAATTCATTATCTGTATTATCAGTATTAATAATATTAATTATCTCAGGGTCCTCATTTTCCTTTTCAGAAGCTGAAAGAAAAAAATACTTAGTGTTTTTATTAAGTAGTGAAGGAAATGATCCCTAAAACCATTCGCATGACAATCAAGCATGTACATGTAAAATATATACAATATAATATCTGTCCATATTTCATATAATAAAACATGATGTGAAGGCAACAGTCCCAGATTGTACTGTTCGCATCACAATTTTTATGGCCATGCTTCCACTATTAATACAATGTTGTTTATAAGTATTAACTTATCCGATTTTTGTATTGAACTTTCTGAACTTGACAATGGCGAATGTTGACGACGTCTTTTATGCAGTTTTCTGGCCAATTTTTTAATCAACCGCTTATAATCCTCACTGTCCCTATGTTTCCGCTTCTTTCCCATGTTTGTAGATAAGATTATTTTCACTAAAAAACACTTATTTACTAAAAATATTGAAATAAAACTTTAGACGCGTGATAGCCAATACTGCACGAAAACATAATGAATGATGATGAAATGAAAAAAAAACATGATAATGAAATAAACATGACAGGTTGTGTGTTGAGTGCTTATAGACCACAGATAACATAGTAGTAATAAGATGGTCAATAAACTTTTTATTCTATTTTCTGTCTCTGTAATCTTTTTAATTTCAGATTAATATTAATTTCTTTAAAATATTCGTGATAGTAGCCGAGAAATACGAACAGTATGTTGGAGAAAGCTAAATAAAATAATATACAACAGAGTGTGGTTACGATCCACGGACCTCTGCTACCGTGTTGGAGAAAGCTAAATAAAATAATATACAACAGAGCGTGGTTACGATCCACGGACCTCTGCTACCGTGTTGGAGAAAGCTAAATAAAATAATATACAACAGGAAAAGACATCGGTCTTCAAGTTTTATTAGTAGACTAGCCAACTTCAATAGACTGTCAATAATAAAAAAGAATTAATATTTTTATCATTGAGGTTATCTACTCTAACACAGTACTACAAGTTAATATTAATCGCGAGAATTGAGCAGCGAAAGCATATATATATATATATATATATATATATATATATATATATATATATATATATATATATATATATATATATATATATGATTTCCATTGAATTATTATAATCGATATCATACCATAAACTATTAGTCTAAGATCCGGCTGCAGAATCAGTGTACTCATCGAGTGTTTGCTGAAAACCAAATTTTTACACATATTTATGATTAGGAGAATTTATATCTACTAGGTTGCCTATCAAAATGTGGCCGCTAGTATTTTTAATTAAATTATTAATAATTCATAATCCGTAAGAAATTTCATTGACTTGTTTTTTCAGTAAAATGTCGTTCACTTTACGGCAACATCTATAAAGACTGTGAAAAATCATGGTTGCCGTTGCGCACCTGGCCGCACCTCTTCGCAGCCAGGTGTACACAGGTATGATTTTATTACATTTATACACCCACAACGTACATTCATAATTTATATATCAAATTAAAGCTAATTTTTTTCTGTTTATTATCATATACGGTTGCCTAATTAAATCTGGCCGCAAATAAGGGTTGCTGGCTATTAAATATAGTAAATATTAAAAGTAGAGTGAAAGAGAGCTAGCGCGTAACACCACTAGTCAAACGAGGATAGCGATTGTCAGCTGTTGGACAGTTTAAAGCCATTGCGCATGCGTCAAATGCTATTGTTCTCAACCTCCGATTCAAACAATAGTAGGTACGCCTCAAAATAATAAATACTCCAAAAGGAACGTCTTTCTTTTCAAAATAAAAAATTAAAAAATAAATAACAAATTTAAAATAAAAAAAAAAATGGATATTGATGATGAATAAAACCAAGGTTGTAAAAAACCATGTAAAAAAAATTGTGTTGTGCAAGTACTGTATGAAAAAAGATTTGATTTTATTCAAGTATTACATATATTTTACATATTCATCAATTTAAGCAAATTATAATTTTTTAAAATGTATTTTATATTTCCGTGACTCTTTTTTAAAAATCTGAATCATCGGAGCTCTCAGTCACACTATCATCGCAGCTATCACTTTCATCGCAAATATCGGTATCGTCGTTATTATCGGAAGGCTTGTTCGTGGAATCACACAGCACACTCTCAACT